AGGAAGGTCCCCGCCGAGGGGAGGGAGCTGGCGCGGGCGAGCCCCAAGGGGAGGCGCGTCGGACCGCGACTGACAGCAACCAGAACGCAGCAAAGTTCCCCGCGGGAGGCGCGGGCCGCGTGGGCGCCGGCCCGGTCTCCGCGCGTCGCCGTGGCACGCGCCTTGGAAAGTTTTCAAAGCCACGAAAGCGAGGCCTGGCGTCTAGGAGCTTCCTCCGCCCCGCTGCCCGCCAGATCCCGCTCCCAAACGCCTCGCCCGGTCGCTGGCAGTCGCGCAGTGCCCGGAGCGGGAACTGGTCTCTCTTCAGAGGTTGAAAGGACTGGGTGGTCTGACATCTCTGAAAGGCCCGGGTGGCCCGGAGACGGCGTCCGCCTGCAGCGGAGGGCACTTGATGGTGGCAGCAGTGAGAAGCCAGGAAAGTAAGGGGGGTGATGACCTGAGGATCGGCCCCAGCTGAATTGCAACCGATGCCCTCTGCAAGTTCAAAGCGCCTCTTGCCAACTCAGATGCTAAGTTCGTCCTTGGTGACTCCCTTTTGTCTTCATTTTGCAAAATAGCTCTGACTGTTCACAAAATGGGACCTTTTTCTATAGAGTTGGGAGCATCTCGTCTTAATTTTGGACAAAATAAGTACTTCCTTAAAACTCCGGGCTCGTACCAAGAACTTGTGCATTGCTTACAAATAGCTCTAATAAGTCATTTTTTTCTGTGTAAGACGCTCTTCACACCTTGCAGTGTTTGCTTTAGTGAAACTTCGGGTATTCTAGAATAAGTGTTCCAGTTGTTCTTATTGTTTTTAACAATAGAAAGCATATAGTTTTGTATACTGAACTCTATATACAGAAATTTACCACAATAGGTGTCGACTCGCTTTGTATTTTGCCACAGCACATTTAATTACGATGGGATACAGTATTTCTCAAAAATGAATGTATAATTACAAACTTATCTCTAATCAATACCATGATCTCAGTCAGGCTTAAAAAGCAGGTCTTTGTATGATTTAGGATGTAGGCACATGCAAAGTTAAATCTTTGGTTTAAATTTGTTATTATTTAAATTTTACTAATGTTAAATGGAAGTATGGGTTTATAATCACGACAAAGTGACATTTTGGAAAAGAACGGACTGTGGAGCTGGGAGGCTGTTGATGAGGCTATGGTGGGTCGCCATCTGACAAAACAGAGGCCACTGGCTCCTTTGCAGTTGTGAGCACCCCTAAACCCCTATCTACACGCACACATTCAGTTCCCTTTATAACAATAGACCTTTTCTATGTGTGCATGTGTATATGTATGCATGCATATATGTGGATATGAGAATAGAAAAAAAAGATATTATAGCCTATTCTAGCTACATGACCGGCTAAGAGTATCCTTCTAGGTCTATTCATTTAATGAACTTGTTCAATTTTCTTGAAAGGGTGTTTAAATCTTAGGGGGGACATTAACTCTAATTCTAGATTAGCTCTGTATGGGTAAGGGCTCACATTGAGCATCTGATAAGTTGCCTGAAATCTTTCATATTTATTCACAAACTATGAATTAAGCCCTTGTTATGTGCCACCAGATAAGCACAAGCAACAAAGACCAGGCATGTCCAGGTTTTACAGTCTAGTTAGTGAACACTAAAAATCAACTCATGTATACTTGTTGGATCAATAAGTGGATTCTAGTTTGGTTTTTAAAATGCTAACTTTCATGAAAATTAATGTTTCCACATTGCATCTGTGCAATCTCTCTGAGAATACTTTATTGTGCATTCACTTTCAGTTATGACTGCTGGAAAAGTAGAATTTTATCCTTTTGTTAGTATTTTTGAGACCACAAAATACCAAAATAAAACAATTCTGAAAAACATTTTAATAATCCTTCTCTCTGTATATATAGATATACATATAAAATGACAACTGTAGCAGGCAACATTTGAATAATATATTCAAATGTGACATGGTATAGTATAGTCCTTTCATATAAATACTATTGTTGTTTTTCCACCACTACACACAGTTCCTTGATTTTGTTTTATTCATTTTAGTATCTCCAGCATCAAGAATGATGTCCAGTACTTATTTGGAGTGTGATAACACTTGTGTAAACAAATGAATGAAAGAATGCATGGTCTGTCTCTGTAGACCTTAAAATACAGCATAGAGGCCCTCCCTGGTGGTGCAGGGGGTGAAAGTACAGCACTAAGAAGCTTAAGCCACTTCTGCATAAGTTCAATCCCCGCCTGCCCCGGAGGAGGAGATCCAAATGGTGCAGCAGACCCCTCCTGACCTGTCCGCTGCTCC